TTTTCGAAGGGGAGTAAATGATTTTTAGTGGACATGAATGGGCGACAGAAGGTCAGAGGGTGATCGTCCCAGATCTGCTCCAGGGGAGAAGGGCAGTGAAGATGAGAGAGCTTTCCTGTTCCTGTTCTGTTTTCTCTAATGCCGTGGGGCCGTATTTTGTCTGGAACACCATCAGTTTCTGTGCGCCTTTAGACATCTTACAAGGCCTTCTAAGCCTCAGGCCCAGCTGTAACAGGGGGATTGACAGCGGGATCTTCTTGGGTGGGGTATGAGGATGCGGAGGCCACCAGGTAGAGCCCTCAGCGTAAGTGCAGCGCAGGTGCTGCCCAGGCCGCGCGGGCTTTTGCAGTCCTTACTTCATCAGAGCTGTCGTCAGTCCTTCTGTACTGTGACTCACCTGATCCTTACCAGGACACAGTACTGGCATTCTGGAACTTTCAGACTCTCCTCTTAGGATAAATGTGATGTTCATATGTTGTAAACTTCAGCAGACGTGGGAAACACTATCATAAGCAAAGTCAAAGACAAATGACCAAGTGGGGGGAAATATGTCTGCAGTTTGTAATTCATTTCCCTAGTACATAAGGAGCTGTAACTCAGTGAAAAAATGAATAAATAAAAAAGACGACAGTTGTGAAGCTTTTATGGTGGTGTATTTCTGCCTTATAGTGCCATAGATTTTGTGTTCGGATTGTGTATCTTCAGCCCACCAAGGAAATCCTAGATTGGAAAAGGGCTTGGGACCCACTGAGCTGGAGATGTCCCCGTGTGGCGAGAACAGACGGCAGAGTAGCTCCTCTTAGGAGTGCTGCTGCTACCATGGCCCTCATGCACCTGCCTTTGCCCTCTCATCCCGATTTTTTCTGTCTCCTTCCCCAGTCCAGAAAGTCCCTGCGTCCTGTCTGGGTTTCACTCACGTTGTTTCACATGGGCTCTAGCCTGCTCAGGCCCACTACTGCTGCTCTAGTCCGGAGACTGGCACCAGCTCCCTGGTGACTGAACCACTTACACTTTCCCCCTACCGTGGTCCTTTCTCCAGTCAGCCAGTGTGCCACGCCCAGATTACTCTCCCGAAACTCTGCCCTGCAGTGGCACCTACACTGTCTGCCCTCTGCAGCACCCCTAACATCCTCTTACAACCTGAACTGGTCACAAGGCCCAGCTCAATTCATTTTCCTTCGGGTGGCTTTGCTAGGTGCCCCTGCCCCTGGCATCCACCTGCTGCGTTTATTGATTGCCTGCTCTCATGTCACACTTGCTGCACATACTGTTCTAGTCAAACTTTTTTTTTTAAAAAGATTTAGTTTATTTATTTGAAAGAGTTACAGAGAAAGGTAGAGACACAGAGAGAGATCCTCCATAGTTCACTCCCCAAATGCCACAACGACTGGGGCTGTACCAGGCTAAAGCCAGGAGCTTCTTCCAGGTCTCCCATGTGGGTGCAGGGACCCGAGGACTTGGGCCATCCTCTGCTGCTCTCCCAGGTGCATTAGCAGGGAGCTGGATTGGAAGTGGAGCAGCTGGGACTTGTACTAGTGCCCATATGGGATGCTGATGCTGCAGGCTGGGGCTTTAACCCTCTATGCCACAGCACTGTCCCCGCTAGTAAACGTTTTCATGAAGGTAGAAAATACCATGCTGAGAAGTGCACAGATCACAAGTAAAGCTCTCAGTGGCTTTGCAAGATACACGAGGTGAACGCACCCACATCATTCACATTCCTCTCTTCCGACACAACAGAAACAGTATCTGGGAGACAGCATGGCATGTGGCTCTTTGCGTGAAAATGCAAAACATCAAATGCTCAGCCACATTCCAGACAAGGAACTGGAGCTAAGAGTGATCTAGGCATTTTTATCTAATTGATTTGAGAGAGAGAGAGTGCCCATGTGATGGTTCACTCCTCAGATACTCAAAATGGCCAGGCTACGTTGAAGCCAGGATCTGGGAGCTCAGTCCAGGTTTCCCATGTGAGTGGCAGGAACCCAATTACTTGAGCCATCCTCTCTGCCTCCCAGGGTCTGCATTAGCAGGAAGCTAAAGACAGGCGCCCGAGCCAAATATTGAACCCATGCATTCTGATATGGGACATGGGTATCTTAACTGGCATCAGCCATTAGGCTAAGCTTTCACACCAGGATCTAGGCTTTGCTAAATTAGACACTTTAAAAATTATATGAAATTTCCATCACTACATCACCAGTACAAATTGTTTCTTGACAGCTAGTTAGAATTGAGATATTATCCCCCCATACCCTTGATTAGAGGTGTTGTAATTTTGGTAAGTCCATTCCAAGGATTCCTGTTCAGGGATTCCTGTAATTCCTTTACATTGGACCTTTAACTCCAGTCTAGGTAAGTGGCGGGACACCCACAGCCTTGGCTTCAGTTATCATTTCGTCCAACAGATATTTATTTACCATATGCAGTCTGCTAGGTACTGTTAGAGCGTATGGTAGGATTAGATTAGATTTTATGGAGTCGCTAGAAATAATTGATATAACTAAAAAAAGGCTAAGACTAAAGCTATAACAGGGACTAAACAGTAACTCTGAAAAGTTTCTGCCGAATCATAAACATTCAGAGGGAACAAGAGCATAGTCGGGAAAGGCTGAAGTGAAGATGGGCTTCCGGACACAGACCCAGTCTGACATGGGTGAGAGCAGACGACAGCCTTCTGAGGGTAAAACAAATGCAAGGTTAAGGGGAACAGAAAGATCTCAAGAAAATCATAAGAAATACCTTATTTTCAGCAGCACATTACAAGTGCTTTTATTTGTTCATCTTGTTGGATCTTTGCCATTATGGTCGTTCATCCCTTACGAGGTTGGTACAGGGAAAGCTACCATGTGCCCACTGTCACGCAGCTCCCTTGTGCTACTGGTAGATGTTTAGACCCCAACTTCAGCATTCTTTGCACAACCTGCTCTTACCTTGGTGAAGCGTGAGCATTTGTGTTCAATCTCCTGCTTTAATTTTTGCAATTACTGGTGCTAGTGTGTGGCATAAGGATAAAGCCACCATCTGCAACACCAGCATCCCGAATGGGTGCCAGTTTGAGTCCCAGCTGTTCTGCTTCTGATCCGGCTCCTTGCTAATGGCCTGGGAAAAGCAGTGGAGGATGTCCCAGGTGGTTGGGCCTCTGCCATTCATGTGGGAGAAGCTTCTTCCTGGAAGAAGCTCCTGGCTCCAGGCTTTGACCTGGCCCAGCCCTGGCCTTTGTGGCCGTCTGGAGAGTGAACAGTGGATGGACGATCTCTGTCTCTGTCTCTCTCTCTCTGTAACTCTGACTTTCAAATAAATAAATAAATATTTTTTAAAAAAACTATTTACTGCATTGAAATCATATCCCAGCTTACTTCATTACCATCATAGGTAATATTTCCTTTAAGCCTGAATCAGGAGACTCTGGCCGAGCATGCCATTTGGAGATCAGACGTGTAAGGCAAAGTGAAGGCGTAGGTCAGTCACTGCAGCTCCTCGCTGTGGCCTCTCCATTACCTGGAAACAAGCGGGGGAGATAAGTGACCTGTCGAAAGTATCATGAGTTCCCTTTTAATTTTCTTTCATCTGGTCTTTTATTGCCTCTTGGGTTATGTCTTTTCTGTACCTAGAAGGCGTCAGTCTGCAAAGCTATGAAGCTGTCAGTCCTGTTGACAAGGCTTTCAGTTCAAATTAATGTTCAGCTAAGGGATTAGCACATAACTATTTCAGGCTGAATTTCTTTACACAAAAGGGTGGCCATGGCTGGAACAGGCCTCCAAAGCCAGGAAGAGAAGTTAATTGTAAAAATCAATGCAGGCAAGAGCTGATCACCTTTCTCAAAGACAAGACAATGCAGAACACAATCTCAAAATAGATCTTTGGGGTCAGGTTGATGTCATGTTGAAGAATCAATATTTACTGGGCTTTATAAAGTTAGCCTTTAATGAACCTCAGACATTTTGCTAGGCCATTAATTGCAGGAAGAGGAAAGGCAGCCATGGCTGAAGTCCATGAGTGTGGAGGTTTTTATAAAAAATAAGTGAAGAGACAGTCACTTGCCATTGTGCAGAGGTCCCACCCTTCGGTTCATGCAGGCATTAGTGGGCGCATGTGTTGAAAGGCGTTCTTGGGATCTTACCAATATTTAGAGGGAGGGCAATTCTTGCATTTCTCTCACCAGGAGGAACTAAGCCCTTGTTTTTTTGGCGTTCCTCATGCAGGCCTTGTAGCTTCATTTTCCTGGGGTGAGTTCTCATGTCATTTTGGCTTCTGCCTTAGCAGTGTGCTAGTCACAAGGTTAGGTCCGTCATGGAGTCCGGCTCCTCCGTCTGACATATGTGAGGGCTTTATGAAATGGAGGGGTGTAGTAAAGAGCATTTAGTTGAGAACGAACGCTGGCTCAAATCCAAGTCTCATGAAAGGTTTTTCATAAATATTGTCATTTGCACTTGTTCTGTCATCCAGCACAAGTGTTGCTTTGCCGACTCTGTGTGCAAATGTGTTTGGTGTGGCTCACTGGGTTGTCTGAGTCATTTGTGGGTCAGGAGCCTCCTCTTCTATTCATGTTAGGCAGTGCCCCTAATTAATTTTGTCAGCTAGGTAGAGGAATGTGTTAGATCAAGTTTTATCCTGGCTGTAACACAGCTAAGGATGCTAATGGAGCCTCCGTGGTCCGTAACCAAATGTCAGAAGCTGCTTCGTCAGGCCTGGGGGGATGTTTGTGCGAAGCTTGTGGTCATGCCTGCCCGGTAGATGCATTCTGGGTTTGAATTTCTAGACCTCTTTCTCTGGTGCGTTGTTTGCGGGGGGGGGGGGGGGGGCTCTAGAGTTCATCAGTGGGAAGAGCCTGCCGCGCCTCCCTCTGCTCCCACCCGCTTCCCGTCTCTGCAGAGCGAACACTGGGAAGTACAAGCAGGAGAGAGAGGTTTGTCAGTGTTACTGCAGGAGAAACTGAGGTTGCCGTCTTCATAATTTGCTTGAGATACTCACTCTGGGTTTTTACTCTTCCTTTGCAGTTGTTTGAGAACTTCTACTTCGGTTCCCTAAAGCTCAATTCCATTCACATCTCTCAGAGGTTCACAGTAGACAGCTTTGGAAACTACGCCTCCTGTGGACAGATCGACTTCTCGTGAGGTGGATCTCGGAGCGCACTGGAAATGGGACGCCCTGACGAGGTGCTGAAGAAAAGGGTCTTCATTTTAACCGCCACGGAGGGATATGGAGTTGTGGATGGTGACTTCCCCGGGTGGTTCCACGGACTCACCGGTGCCTGTCTAGTGGAGTGTGGTCGTCAGAGCGTCAGCCGGGACCGTCGTGGGCACAGGGACAACTTGTGTCTGCAACCCTCAGCTTGTTCCACATTTTTTCTTCTGTGTGTGTGTGAGTGTATGTATGTGTGGTAAAATACACATAAGCTTTCCCGTCTTAACCATTCTTAAGTGTGTGCTTCCATGTTACTACACGTGCACATCATGGTGTGTAACCATCACCACCATCCGTCGCCATCGCTGTTTCATCTTGTAAAACTGAAACTGCCCACTGCATAACAGCTCCTCACTCTGTGCTCCCCACTGCATAACAACTCCTCACTCTGTGCTCTCCCCACCGGACAGCCACCACCCCACCTTCTGTCTGCAGCTGTGCCTGTTGGGAGCAGTGGGTGGTGCTCTGCTGTTCGTGTACTACGTCTTGTGTATCTACCGTGGACTCGCCTGTCGCTTCCACCTCTAGACTGTGGCAGTCACTGCTCATGTGAATCGCATGGGTGTGCAGAGAGCCCTTCAGGACCCTGCTGTCCATTCTTCCAGCACCTAGGATTGTACCTTGAGCAAAGCAACGCTGACAGTTTTTCCCTTTGTCTTTGCTTGATCTATCCTTTTTCTTCTCAAGTTACCCTTTTTAAAAATCGCTGGTTGGATTCCGGGCCCCAGCCCTGCCCTCTAGTCCCCCGAGGGAGTCGAGGGAGTTGAGGGAGTCGCAGTGTTGTAGCTCTTTTCTGTTCACTTCTCAGCACAGCGGCAGCAGGAACAATGAGGCCCTCAGCAAGACTGTGCGCAGTTCCCAGAAGCACATCAGCCACAGAGGTGCTCGCTCCTTGGCCGTACACCAGCAGAGGAAGGGAGAGCCCCCAGAGTGGGGCCCCCACCCGTCCTTTGGGGTGTCCTGTGGGGGCGGGGTGGGGAGCCGCTGTCTCAGCCCTCCCTCCTGAAGCCCTTCCTCCCTCCTTGTTCTCCCCGTGGCCTTCATTCCTTGTTATCTTGATTCTTACTTCCCGGGTGTTTTTCTCCTAGAATCATCAGTTCTGGCTGACCCCTGGTGTGTCTGGGATACAGTGTTGCCACCGCTTATCCCTGGGCACCTAAATGTCTCAGTGACTGCAGGGTGATTCTTCCCTTCCTCCTGATGCTGTTCCGTTTTTATTTCAGCCGAGGTTCTGCCTGACCGTGTGCTGCAGGACAGAGGGTGGGGGTGGGGATGAGAGCCTCCAGGGGAGCGCGGAGTGGGGAAGCCGGCAGCGGGCTGCAGGGCCCCCATCTCCCCTTGGTGCTGCTTCTCCCGTGGCTCCTCTGTGACGAGCCCCTCCCTGGGCAGCCTTGGCCAGGAAGCGTCCATGTCTTCTTTTGGATGTCAGATGTAGAACTTACATTTGTAGGAAATGAAAAAGTTCTGTCTTTGGAAAACATAGCTGTTTATATATCAAACACTAAATTCTTAATGGAACTAGAAATTCTGTTATATAGAATTCGGAGATTAGCACTCCCTATGCATTTAAGCAAATATCATATCCCAAGGTAGGTTTTCAAAAGTCGTTTGCCTTTTTTACTCTTTTTCTCTCCTGAGTGTGTAGTGGACTTCCCCAGAGGTCAAAAAAATGACATGGTGACATCATCACCATGTACATCTGTATTTTCTGGAATTCTGTATCTTGGTGATATTGGCAAAATTGGAGAAAAATTTAAAATTCATATTTTATATTTTCTTTCCAGTAGACAAAATTTTGGGACAGTGTAGCTCTAAAGGAAGTACATGTACAGTTTTGACTGCTGGTATAGAATGGAGAGTAATGGCGGTTTTTGATTGAGAACTTTTAGGACGAAGCAGCAGTGGCAGAAAGCAAATAATTTGGTATAACCCAAAGAATTGTTTTAAAATTTATTTCCTTTTTATTTGAAAGACAGAAAAAAAGAGAGATAGATATCTTTCATCCACTGATTCACTCCCCGAATGCCCACAACAGCAGGACTGGGTGAAACCAAAGACAGGAGCCTGGAACTCATTCCAGGTCCCCCATGTGGGTGTCAGAGACTCAAGTACTTGTCACCACTGTCTCCCAGGGTGCACATTCGCAGGAAGCTGGAAATCAGAGTTGCCAGGACTCAAACCACACACTCAGATGTGGATGTGGTATGCCAGGCTGCATCTTAACCACTGTGCCAGATGCCCGTCCCAGCAGCGGGCACTTAGCCTAGCAGTTAAGATGCCCATTTCTCATATCCGAGTGTGCGGGTTCAGCTCCTGGCTCCAGCTCCTGACTCTGGCTCCTGCTAAAGCACACCCTGGGAGGCAATAGCCATGGCTTAAGTAGTTGAATCCCTGCTTCCAACTGTTCCAGATGGACTTCCCACCTGGACTGCGTCCCGGCTTCCAGCTTTGGCCCCAGCCAGGGATCATTCGTGGTGTGTGAGGAATGAGCTGGTGGACGAGAAGTCTCTCTGAACTTCTGTCTGTCTCCCTGCCTCTCAAAATCCAAACCAAAACCAAACAGAGCCTCAAGTGTTACTTGCATTTTCCACACTCATTCTCTCTCAAGTGTTTGGTGGCATTTTCCAGAGGCTGTGACATCACTCTGATGGTTAATGGAATATATGCTTGTGTGTTTTTGTTTTCTAGAATTTTGTAATTAGGTAGCTTCAGGGTAGAGGTTTGTGTGTTTTCAGAGATTAAGTAACTCAGTTTGCTCTCAGTACTTCTGTACCCTGTATCAGGTATTTTAATTTATACCTGCTATTTTATGGAGCTAAATTGTGTTTCCCCTCACCCCAAATTCTTGTTGAAGCTAACCTGTAGTACCTCAGAGATGTGACCTTTAAAGAGGGGATCCCATTAAAGTGAGGCTTTTTGGGTGGGCCCTACCCCGATCTGACAAATGTCTAAGAGGACAGGACCACAGGAGGACGCAGCACCAAGGTGGCAGCCGTGAGCCAAGGAGAGAGGCTTCAAGAAAAACCAAGTCTGCTAACACTTTGATCTTGAACTTGCGGCCTGCGGAGTGAGAAAATCACTTTCGGTTGTTGAAGCCCAGCAGTCTGCGGTACTTTGTTTTGGCGGCCCAGGCGGGCTGGTAGAGCCTTGCTAAAGGCAGGAGCTGACATGAGCACCTCCCTGTCACCTTCTGAGCCAGACATGAAAGAGATCTGTAAAAGCGTGGAACAGAAGCACTCTCTTACTGATCTGTGGGGAGAGAGAGTTGTTTTTCATAAGATATTAATATGAAATGGGTACATTACTGGGGCCAGCGCTGTGGCATAGTGGGTAAAGCTGTAGCCTGCAGTGCCAGCATCTCCTGTGGATGCCGGTTTGAGTCCTGGCTGCTCCACTTCCAATCCAGCTCCCTCCTATGGTCTGGGAAAGCAGTAGAAGATGGCCCAAGATTTGGGCCCCGGCACCTGCATGGGAAGACCGGAGGAAGCTCCTGGCTCCTGGCTTCGGGTTGGCGCAGCTCCAGCCTTTGTGGCCAATTGGAGAGTGAACCAGTGGATGGAAGACCTTTCTCTCTGCCTCTCCTTCTCTCTCTGTACAACTCTGACTTTCAAATAAATAAATCTTCTTAAAGAAATGGGTACATTATTATATTTTAATTAAATTCTAAAAGATTTTCTTAGTATTACTTTTAAGTGTAAAAGTTATCTAATTCATATAAACAGAAGTTCCTTGGGGTGCTAAGTAATTTCTTAGTGTAAAGGACTGCAGAGACTGGGCGGTGTGAGAACTGCTGTGCTAAGCCTCCTTCCACGCAGGGTCGTGTTGTGTATGATCTCTGCCGGGAGCTTTTCCCACCCTGTGGCGGGGTGGGTCACACTGCTTGTTAATGGAGAGCTGTACAGCAGTCCACTCTAGGTATCATTTTTTTTAACAGACATAAAAATTGTTCCTATTTATGGGCTGCATGTGATATTTTGAAACAGACATTGTGTAAAGTTTCAGTCAGGGTAAATGTATCACTCTCTTCAAACATTTAACAGATCTGTATGGTAAAAACATTCAAAATCCCATTTTTAAGATGTTATTTATTTGAGGGGCCTGCACCTGCATCCCATGTAGGTGCCAGTTTGGGTCCCAGCTGCTCCACTTCCCATCTGGCTCTCTGCTGTGGCCTGGGAAAGCAGTGGAGGATGGCCCAGGTCCTTGGGCCCCTGCTCCCACGTGGGAGACCTGGAAGAAGTTTCTGGCTCCTGGCTTCGGATCAGCCCAGCTCCGGCTGTTGTGACCATCTGGGGAGTGAACCAGCAGATGGAAGACCTCTCTCTCTCTCTGCCTCTGCCTCTCTCTGACTGCTTTTCAAATAAATAAACAAATTTTTAAAAAGTTACTTATTTGAAAGGCAGAGTTAGGGAGGGAGAGAGAAAGATCTTCCATTTGCTGATTCACTCCCCAAGTGGCTGCAATAGCCCGGCTTCAGCAGGGGCCCAAGCACTTGGGCCATCTTCCACTGCTTTCCCAGGCCACCCACATGGGATGCTGGCTTTCCCAGATGCATTAGCAGGGAGCTGGATCAGAAGTGGAGAAGCTGGGACTCAACTAGGACTCTAGTGTGGGATCCAGTGCCACAGGTGGCAGCCTAACCTGCTGTGCTACAGGGTCAGCCTCTCCATTATACTTTCAACTTCTAGAAATCACCTTTTTTAAAAGACTCCGCATGAGTCAGATGCTTGTCTTTCTGTGCTCGGCTTATTTCACTTAACAGAGTGACTTCCAGTTCCATCCATGTTGTTGCAAAGACTAAGATTTCATCCTTTTTTATGGCTGAATAGTGCTCCATGGTGCATATATGCACTGCGTTTTCTTTATTATTAGGTTGGCTATTACCAAAAGGGCAAAAGAGGAGTGTCGGTGAGGATATGGAGAAGACAGAACCCTTGCAAACGGTTGGTGGGAATGCAAATTTAAGACAGCCATTCTGGAAAACAGTACGGAGGTTCTGCAAAAGACTAGAACTAGAACTACATATAGCAGTCTCACTCCAGGGTGTACATGCAGGGGGAATGACAGCCTGTCAAAGAGAGCTGTACTCCCATGCCGATGACCGCACAGTTCATCCTCACCTAGAACGGGAAGCAACCTGAGTGTCCGTCCGCTGATGCACGGATGCAGGTGTGTTTTATAATGTAACTCGTTGGCTCCTGATGGGGGGCTCCTGAGTTGGTTTCTAGGTTTGGCTGTTCGTGAACATGGTTAAACACTGTGCTTGCGGGGCCGTGTAGAGAGAAGAGTGAGCGACTTCCCAGGGACTAGCCACATTTGCATTTCTTGTTTCTTACTAGAGAACCAAGGCTACTCTTCTCCATTCTTTATTGCTAAATAGGAAATGCAAACAGAGAAGTCCGTGAGATACGTGGACCATCTAGGAAGTCCACAAGCAGCTCCTCGTGTAGGGGGCACTGGTTTGAAAGGCTAATTTCCTAGTAATTCTCAAAAAATAGGAAAACCTTTGCTTTTTCTTTATAAACTGCAATTGTTGTCCATTTACATAGTTCTTAGGCCTGCCCTCTGGACATTTGGATTCTGCCCCTAAGTCTCTCACTGTTGGCTTAGCAGCGGCTGCCTGCTGCTCGCAAGCTTTCGGCACAGGGCTAACGTTGCCGGAACTCCGAGGCGCCGCCCAGGGCGAGTCCAGCTTGGAGGAAAGGCCTGGAGATAGCTCTTGCCTTTGGGATGCACATTTTTTGCCTACTCTAAGATTTATTTTTGAAAGGCGGAAAGACACAGAGATTAGAGCTCTTCTATCTCTTTGGGGTTCACTCCCCAAATGCCTGCAACTGCCAGGGCTGAGCCAGGCCAAAGTCAGGAGTGAGGCACTCCATCCAGGTGTTCCATGTGGGCGGCAGTGACCCAAGTACTTGGGTCATCATCTACAGCTTCCCAGGGTGTGCATTAGCACCCTGGATCAGAAGCAGAGGTGGAGCTTCCCTTAGGCACTCCAAGATGGGACGTGGGTGTCCCAAATGGCAGCTTCATCCCTCTGTGCCATAATGGACGTCCTGTTCGCACCTTTCCAGACACTTTATTAAACAACTTTGGTAACTGCAGAAGACTTCCTTACGACAGTACTGGACCCAGAGAACAGTGGTGTCTGGGATCTCTTTCCTAGTACTTTGGAGTTAGCTCTGCTGAAAGACTGGGATGGGGATGGCAGGACAAGATGGTAAATTTCGGTACATCTCTGGAATTAGAGGATGGTACAGCCTTCTCCCAACCTAAGGGAAGAAGAACTAACTTTTTTTTAAAGTGCCCACCATGCCCAGACACTTAGTATGTGATTTTGCTTGAGTTTCACAGGAATCTTAAGAGGATAGGTGGTAGTACCATAAATTCATACATAGGAAATAGGTGAACTTGTCCAGGAACCCAGCTCGGAAGTGGTATTCTGTCTCCACAGTCTACATAACCAACTGTGTTCTCCCTCCACTGTCACGGCCCCTGTACACCCTGGGAAGACCACTTTATTTGCTCTGAGATGAAGACATCCATGGCCAGGGCCTCACTGCAGCACTGCCAGTAGGTCCACTGCAGGGGAAACCAGAAAACGCGGAAAGGGAGCTATTGTTTTCTGTCTTCCCCACGGAGCCCCACCAAGCTGCTGAGGCATTGAGTTCCCAGGCAAGGAAGCCCGAGGGTGCCCGTGAGCCTTGAAACCTGTGTGTTTTCCCTACCGATTACGATCATGTTTTTCTTGCCTTTGATTCTTTCAATATCACAGGAGCCAAGTATTTTTTATAAAAATACAATCTAGTCCCAAAAGTTTGCTGTTTGTGTCCTGCCAAATAGTCTGTTTCCTCTTCAATTTGTAAGGTAAACCTCAGCCCATTTCTGCCTGGATCCTGGGACTGTGCCCAGCCTCCAGCCATTCCCACAGGCTGTGACGAGGGTCATCGCTTTAACAAAAGCCGCAGCACCTCAAACAAGAGTGGCCTCGCCCCACCCACCACCTTCTTTGGGGGCTTGTTAAAGTGTGCCCGAAGTCACAACCACGGGTGGCTTTTCCAGGTTTGCGGCCTCCAGGCAGATGAAATGGTCAGACGCTCGCCTTTTAGGGCTGCCCTAGGAAGAGCTGACAAAGGGGCTGGCAGTCCCTCAACAGCTGCCTGGGGAGCAGGATGCCTGCCTCTGAGCCACCCAGAGCCCTGGGAAAGAGCACGCAGTGCTGGGAGCCACGGCTCCGAGGCGGCCAGTTGTTCCATGGCTTTTGTCTTAGGGAAGCCACCCATTACGGCAGGGAGCCAGCTGTCAGGGCTGTGGCGCAGGCCCCTCAGGGTGGGAGGCGAGGGGAGAGAAGAGTGTGGTCGAATCTCCCTTTCAGACACCTGAGACGGGGCTGGCTGTGTAACCAGAGCATATTTGCTCTCTTTTCCCCAATCCCATCCGGCCCAGGGAGCCCCGGTGCTATCCACCGCTGCAGAGACAGCAGGAGCAGGGCAGGAGTCCGCCTCCCGGCGCGCGCTGCGCTGCGCTGCGGCTGGCGAGAGGCGCTCAGATCCCGCGCTTCCCTCTGAAATCTGCCCCCTCCTTTTTTTTTTTTTTTTTTTAAACCAGGTATGATGATGTCAAACGTGATGCTGATGCTACAGCTACAGCTACAGACTCAGCCCCTGCCGGCGCAGGCTCTCTGATCCCCCCCCCCCCTCCGCCCTCCCCCGCCGCGTCCAGCGCCCGGCTCTCTCAGACAAGTGCATCTCCTAACCAGGTCACATTTCAGCCGCGACCCACTCCCCGCCCGTCGCCGGAGTCGGACCGCGGGAGGAGAGGAGGGCGGCAGTGTCTGCCTCGCCGGCGGCCGGGTGGAAGGAAGGCCGTTGAAATACCGCACGAGTCGAGGCCCCCCCGGGCCAACCCAGACCGCGATGCGCGCCCCGGGCTGCGGGCGGCTAGCGCTGCCGCTGCTGCTGCTCGCAGCGGCCGCCCTGGCCGAAGGCGACGCCAAAGGGCTCAAGGAAGGCGAGACCCCCGGCAATTTCATGGAGGACGAGCAATGGCTGTCGTCCATCTCGCAGTACAGCGGCAAGATCAAGCACTGGAACCGCTTCCGAGACGTGAGTGCGCAGGGCGGCACGGGCAGAGGGCCGGGGCCGCGGGTTTGGAGACGGAGCTTCGGCGCGGGGACCCACGCGCGTCGCAGCCAGAGGCCCCAGCAGCCCGGCCGCCGACTACACCGAGAGTCCCCAATCCGGCACCCCTTCCCCGCGTGCCCTCGGCCGACGGTCTGGGGACCCCCCCCCCAACTCTGGTCCCACATCCGCCCCGGGCAAGGAGACGCTCCGGGGGCGCGCGCTCGCCACCGGGTCCCTCGTGGGCCGGGTGCCAAGAAGGGGCGCGGGGTGCGGGGGGAGGACGCGGGCCCCGCTGCGACTGGGCCCCGACCCGCTCCCAGCTTGAGTGGCCCCCGGGCCTGCCCCCAGCGGGTGGATGCTGCAGGCTTCACATACGGGGCACTGCGGAAGGGGCAGGGCTGGGTGGGGCCGGTAGAAGGAGCCCGTGTGGCGCGGGCGCCCCGTGTTCCCACCGTGGGCTTTGGGGGAACGGACCGTGCCCGAGCTTTGAGTTGGGGGTCCCTGCAAGCCTCAGAAGGCTGGATGGTAAAAGGCGAGACCGCCATGGGGCCCCGTCAGAGCCAGGTCTGGGCCCCCCTGCCCAGGGGCGCGTCCCCGTCACCCAGGCTGGTTTCCAGCTTTTGCGGGGAGCCCAGACCCGGGCCAGAGGAGCGGCTCCCAACCGGAGGAAGAGTCCGTAGCCCGGCGGGCTTGGGCAGCGGGGAGGATAGCCCAGCAGCGGACGCCCGCCGGAACCCGGGCTTCACCTTGGACCGAACTTTGCGGGGTGGGGGCGGGGAGGCGGCTGCGGGCGCGCCGACGTCGCTGCGGCGCTTTCCCGGCACCTGTGGATCCGAGGGCGGGCGGAGCTGCGGGCCGGGTCCCAGGGGTGCCGGGGGCGCGAGGAAGGGGGACGAAGGGCGTGGCTGGGCCCCCGAGCACCGTGGCTGGGGGTGGGGAGCCAGTGCACCGCCGGAGACGCCCTGACCTGGACGGGTTCCTCCTCTGCGACCCCCGTTCTTGACACGTCCCCCCAGCGGCCCCCCAGGCGAGCACCTCGATCCGAACAAGCCGCCCGCAACCTTTCTCCTAAACCGCGTGCATCCACCAAGTGCCCTAGAGACCTGTTTAAAACACACAAGCTCCCCCTGGTCGCCAGCCAGATGAGGGGAGCGAGCAGAGACCGATCTTTTTGCTAGGGGGAGACAAGTCCCTGTGTCGCCCTGAAATCAAGCTGCCAGGCCGAGGGCCCCGAGTAGGCTGGCGGTCTCTTTCCGTGCGCCAGCCGCGGCTGCTGCAGCCTGGGGGTTTAGCAGGGCCTTCCCGAGGCACCTGCAGGCCCAGTCCGGTGGTAGCTGCAGTGTCCTACCGCTGCCTGGGCGGCAGCCCGCCCTCTGCAGCGAGGGGGCGGCAGCCGGCTGCCATGTGTCACTGGTCCAGGCCTCCCTCCAGCTCACTGGCTGGCTGAGCCTCCCAGATAGGTCAGAGGAAAAAGAAATGCTTCACCGGAACAGTAGAGGTTTAAAAATAAAAGGTTCCTCCCACCCCCCTCGCTGCACCTGCTTCCAGTGGGGCACTCTGTGGGTGGAGGGTGAGAAGCGGGGACTGCTGAACCCCACAGCCCAGGGCCGGCCCCCACCACAGGTGCCAGCTGCATCCCTTCTCCTCCCGGGCTCCCCGGGAGAAAGCACCAGCGCTGAAATTCTGTAGGACAGGTCCCCACAGAATTCATGGAAAGCTGTAGAACAGATGCTAACTGGGGTGAGGGGGTGCGCAGGCTTTGATAGCACAGATTTCCTCTGAAACGACAGAGCCCAGCTGCAGGAGCACAGGGTCAGGGGGAGAAGTAGGACAGAGAAGGCCGAGCAGGAGGGCCTGGCCCTGGGAGGTGTCGGCAGCGTCTGCAGAAAGGCAGGAAGCAGGCTGCTTGCTCGGAGCCACTGCATTGCATGATGCCAGCAGTGCCTTGTTGTGAATAGCGCCCCCTGGAGTTGTGCAGTGCACAGACCATACGCAGGGCTGGAACAGCCCTCCAGACACTTGTCAAGCCTCCTCTGCCTCTAGAGGCCCCGCTTCTGGGCCCAGCGACATCTCCATCGGGCCAGCTCCTTTGAAAATGCGGTGCTTGGCCCTTCACAAGAGAGAGAGGAGTTTCTTTTGAATTCCGGATGCGTTGCCAGGTTGAGCCAGAACCTTGTTGCTAATCAGTCATAAAATGGTGCAGGCCCCTGTTGCCTGGAAGGGGAGACAAGCAGGCTGGGAGGGGTATTCTCAAGGCCTAGGAGGGGGTCAGTAGTGCGGTGAAGGAGGTGTCTCCTCACTCGGCGGCATTGTCAGGATTGCTCAGGGAGGCGTGAGGGGATCCAGGGAGGAAGAGGTAAGAGGTTGGGAGCTGCACCAGCTGAGCTGGTTAGCAGGGAGCAGAGCTGAGCGCTCTTTCCCAAGCCCCAGGATTACCGGGAAGGCAGGGTTTACCAGCTGATTAACCCCCCTGCCGTGGGCGCAGGGCCCTGGCACCCGCAGCCTGCATATGGCTCTGCTCATGCTGGGGTCTGGCCCTGCCCTCCCTGGCCCCATCTCTAGATTCACTCCTTGCAGCATGGGGAGGGACTTTGCTGCAGGTCTTGGAACAAAGCACACAGGGCCTCACCGAGCTGGGCCCTCTGAGGGGAGGAGGTGCGTTCTGCAGCCATCTGCAGGGCAGCTCCACAGCCTGGCGGGGAGGAACTGACACCTCTCTCTCTCTCTCTCTCTGTCTGTCTCTCTCGGGCTCCTCTCTGCTTTGTCCTCCACTCAGTTCCGAGCGTAGCATGGTGCTCGGCGCACGGTTCCTATCTGCTGCATCACTGACCGCAGGGAGCACTCTCTTGTGCCAGACCCTGCAGTGAGCACTTTGCAGCCATTGCCTCTTGGGCGGCTCCCCAGCCTGCTTCTTTATAGTGTACCCATTTTATAGTGCGAGAAACTGTGGCGCTGAGTAACTTCCTCGAGGGGCAAATAGCTGGTCCGTGGCAGTGGTGGGATTTGAACCCAGGTCATCTGACTCAACTTGGCCTTGCAGGGAACTCAGGTCTAAGACAGTGGGAGTGAGAAGGAACAAAGTCCACCCTGGCTCGTGTCCTGCCTGTCCCCCGAGACGCCCTGCCGGGAGGGGCTTTAACAGCCTGCATCTCAGCTGCGCCGAGCAACACCCCAAGGCAGCCTCTCCACCCAGGAGAGGTGGGAGGCAGCGTGGTGGAGCCTCGGGTGCAGACCGAGCGGCTGGAAGGAAGGGCACACCTTGTTCACGCAGGCAACAGTCTCCCCCTTCCCCCAGAGGAAAAACAGCCCCCAACACACACCGTGCCTCAGTTTCCCCCAACTGTGACTTCCTAGTCACAGTGTGCTCACTCAGTCACAGCAGGCGGGCCCCTTGCGCATCCGGGGGGCTTCGCATGAACCCTGGGGCTGGTCCAGGGACAGCATTCCCTGCAAATTCCATGGGGTTCTTGCGTGTTTATGAACATCAAAGACACTGGCAGCAAGCAGTGGCCACAAAGGGCTCCGCCTCTTACCCCCTGGCTACCCCACACACCTGAACCCGTGCGATGAGCCACACAGATGTTTGTGGGGAAGCATAGGTGGGCGAGAAGGACCCCATCATGAGTCAGAACGGATTGGGGTATGAGGATGGGAGGATGGGTCCTTCCCCAGTCGCCTCTTCCTCTCTGGCTTCTAACTCTTGTCCCCCTGGGGGTGGGGGCTGGCATCTTCCAGGGACTCTGAGCCCGACCTGGGGAGGCCGTCCTGCCCCCATCATCTTCCAGCAGCCTGGAGCAGATGGGGCGCCAGTGCCCCTCCCCCTAATTCTGCAGAAGGTCAGCAGCCATCTGAGGCGGGACAGAGCCCCAGGAGCCGGCCTGCCCATTGCAAGGACAGAAGCAGCTGGGTGGCCTTCACCTTCCCGGCCCTTGACTTTCCCACGGGTTTAACGGGCAGGCTGAGCAGGAGGATCTGCAGAGCCCTGAGCATCCTGAGACTCTGCGAAGATGGCACAAGAGCCTGTCACCAGCTCCTCCACCCACAGACAGAGCCCGCCCTGTCCCACCACCACCACCGGCTGGGCGGCAGGTGTCTGGGGTTAAGGAAGAGCCGTTCTCTGTGAGCAGGCCGGGGCGGGCGTGTGTCAGCCAGAGACCTGGAAACCTGGGACGTGGGCCTTCGTGGCAGGTGGGGCTGGGAGGCCCCTCCCGGCCCTGGTCCTGCGTTGCTGTAGCAGGGTACCACTCACAGGGAGGCCTGGTCAGCTGGGCTCTGTTTCCCACGGCTCAGGAGGCTGGGATGTCCGCGGTTGGGTGCTTTTCCTGGATCCCCACGTGGCATCCTGGGGCTCTACCTTCCTGACTGCTCCTAGGTCTGATTGCTTCCAGAAGGCCCGCCCCCAGCACCCTCCCGGTGGGCGTGACCATGCAGTGGGTAGTGCTGTCTCTGCATGCGTGCTCGCTGGTGCAAGGTGAGCCTGCTCAGGGTGTGGGGAGGGAAAAGGCCTGCCCACACCTGGGTGTGGCCGCAGCATTTGGGCAGCCCGGGGCCCAGCCAGGTTCCTCAGTTGTGCTGGCCGCAGGTGCAGCTCCTGCAATATTTAGTGGCCATCAGTGCGCATGGTACCCACTGGGTGCGGCCTCGGAGCGTCACACTGTGGGCGGGGATGAGAAGCCTCCTGCTGATATTTGTAACCTGTGGTGCTCACCTCCCTGTGCCTGAGGACAGTCGGGAGTAGACTGTGCCTTGCCACCCATCGCCATGTGTGTTCGTGCGCAGCAGGTGCTCACTGTAAGTCTACACCCTGGGGGCTGTCACGGCCAGAAAGGCTCCCATCTAGCTGCCCTCCCAGGGCTCCCCCCACTCCAGGGAGCAGCGGTGTGCTCAGGCCCCAGAGGGCAAGGAGGGTCCGGGGCCGGTTCTGAGCCCCGCTTGGACCCCAGCTGAGATAGACACAGCTAGAACCCTGGCACCCTAACTTCTGTAATTCATAGGGTAAGGGGGTGAGTAGTGACATGCAGGAAGATTGTCACCCAGCCTGCGGGCCTGCACCTGGGTGGGAAGCTCTGACCCCACGAGGCAGGCTGGCCGGCCCGCACACCTGTAGGGAGCAGCTTCCCAAGGCATGGTGTCCTGCCCTCGCCTGCTCTCTTCTTCCCTGGCACCAACCGGAGGTCAAGGCTGCTGAGCAGGACAAGGCGGGCTTACTGGTGCCTCCCCTTCAGCCTCATGCAAGCTTCCCTGAGCTCTTGTTGCTTGCACAGGCCGGGGGACGTGACGCAGGCTGCAACTGTGCCGGCCTCGCGGTGCTCAGTTTGGAAGAGCTCAGTAGCGCTAGTCGCTGAGGGCTCAGTGCCCGCACAGACTGGCCCAGCAGACAAGACGCTCGTGTTCCACGTCCCAGTGCCGGTGCCCCTCCTTGCTGCGGTTCTGGACTCCACTTCCCACAGGGGCACACGTGGGAGGCAGCAAGTGAGGGATCAAGTCACTGGGCTCCTGCACCCAAGGGGGAGACCTGGATTAAGTCCCTGACGCGCTACCTTGGCTGTGGCCCAGCCCTGGCTCTTGCGGGCATTTGGGGAGTGAACCAGACGTGTGTATGTGTGTGTGTGCGTCTCTCATATAAATACATAATTTTTTTAAAAGAAAAGGAACAGGCTGGGGAAGGGCAGGCAGTGAGACGCCATCTCCCCATGGCCTGCCGTTCTGCCACCTGCCAGGGCCCGTGTTTCCAAAGCTGCAGACGCGGGTCTTCCTCAGAGACCCCTGGCATTGATACCCGACCTTCACCCATGTCCCAGAAGGGAAGCCAAGGTCCTGAGGCAGCTCAGAACGGAACCCCCCGCCCCCAGGCTCCTGCCCCTTGCACCTGTCCCCTGCCCTTCTGGGCTGATGCCTGGAGCAGCCTGCGACCCCAGGGATGGGGCCCAGAGGCCACTGCAGTGGTGGGGGCAGTCAGGCATTGGGTACCTGAGCTGGGCCGGGCCACGGGTATGCAGGGAGCAACAACAAGCACATTTTTGCCCTCCAAGGGAATTCTTCAGAGGGAAGGGGAGGTGGGAGGCAGCAGTCCCCCGGATGCCTGCTCCGAGAGGGGCCAGGGTTAGTGCCTCACCCCTCCTCGATCCTTTCTGGCTGCCTCTCCGTGCTCCCGTGGCTGTGTCTGAGTGGGAGGAGGTCCCACCCACTCCTGGGCCTTCTCAGGCAGGCGGGCCCCTCGGGCTCCCTGCCCCAAGGAACGAGGTGTAGATAGTGCGGGGGCCAGGGCCTCTCTGAGGCTGAGTGAGCCTAGCCTACTTCCATCCCCAGAGATTCTCGATGCGCTAGGAAAAGCAGACGCGGCGCCCAGCGGGGCTGCAGCCACGTGGCTTTTTCCAGTCTCAGGATGAACGTGTTGCAGTTCCGAGGCTGTCCCTGGTTGTAGTCGTCCTACGGAGACATCTCAGAGCCCGGAGGAAGGCGGGCTTCAGGGGTCGC